AAGAGTGACCCCGTTGCGGTATGGAGTCGAGACGACGAGTAGGGTGAGGGCTCAGCGTACAAGGAGGTTTACACCGTGGTGAAAGCTTTGCCGAGTTCTTGAAAGGTTGCCATATTCTCAAATATCGGCCGGTTCTTCGTAACAACTGTGTTTCATGTATTCACGTCAGTCGATCTCACGGTGCTAGAAGGTCCACAAGAGGGGGAGGGGTTTGTGTTTCTTCTCAGTATTTAGACTGAGTAAGAGGTGGACAGAGGGAAGCTTCAGTTGTACCATGCGCTTGTGGATTTTGTCTAAAAAAAGTGCAAGAGAGTATGGCAATGAAAACACCCGAGCAGTGTGTTTAGTCCTAACGTAACAAGGTGGGAAGTTTTACTCACGCAAAGGTAAGTTTTACTCTCGGATTGAGATAACCACATTTAACAGAAATCGGTTGCCGTTCCCGTTGAAATTGGCGAGCATTGTGGTGTCCCTTCAGCGATACGAAAGCTCGGTCGCCGTCACGACCAGTCGACACAATAGTTTGTGCAAGGTTAACGTTACTAAAGTGGTTAACATTAGTGTCGTTGTGACTTAGTTTTTCAGACTAGCCCCGAGGGTCACCAGTACGACAAGTCGACACCTGTCTTTGTGGACATATCGTTGTGGCCGAAACGGGACCACCTCTACTACTTCTGTTGGATTTATGTTTCGTTTATCAGGGTATAGTTTACCAAGTGGTAACTAGTGTAGTTTAGTTCTGTGCCGCAATCTCGAATCTTTATGCTTTGTTGCTCCATTCAGTACATCTATTAATGATGTATTGAATATACCAGTTCGTCATAAAGTGAAAAACGTGGCTGTTGTGAATACCACGTTAAATTCGTGTGAATAGCTCTGCCAACCGTCTTCTGTCTACCGACCTTTATTGCAAACCGAACTTTAAGGTACAAAGCGAGAACTGGCCGTCCATGTGGTGTTTTCAAAGACCTACTGAATGAGTAACTTCATAGCATACAATTGTTCTGTTATCTTTGTCTGGGAAGGAATGTGGCGAAATCTTCGACAACTTTATAAGTGACGTCACAAATAAATAAACGTCGGTACGTGAGTGAAGAGAGCATAACTTGGACAGAACTGAGCACACACTGGGTCCCACCACCAAATAGGCGAGGTGCAGTACGGTAGCCTCGTCAGTGTAGAAAGTAGGTCTACTCGACAACTCTTACACCCTGAAACTGTAGATACCAATCAACTCGGAGAGTGCTAACACATTCGGGGCGCGAGTCGGCAAACTGGAGACAAATACACGAATAAGTAGTCGACTAATAATTACAGACGAAAGTCGCGTACTAGACGCATGAAACCTCGGCGTTCCGACGGATGTGTGGGCGCGGTACGAGGGAGCAGACTGGAGAAAACGGGTTCACCTTCCATAACACTAAGAAGAGTAGAAAAAAAGAGAAAACACCACAGTTGTAGATAGAAAGTTTCATACGGTTCGCTGTTGTCGTGCACCAACCAACTCGACCGAAGACTTTGTCCCTCCCTTCTTACGTGCAGGTAGCTCCGGACTCGGGTCCCATGAGAAAGAGGGTCGGGCATGTAACAGATGTTGGCGGTTCTGACCCAGCCCCACTGCCCAAGAGAGACAACAAATGGGCTCTGCATGTGCTGTGTCTTCGATGAATTGCGTTAGAGTCCGTAAGATGAAGTCATTACCGATATTTATGAAACGCGATATTTTTATGAGAAATAAGTGATTTTCAGGACTAAAAGTGATTTTCATAGTCAACTTTCACTGTCTTAATACTATGCTGGGTTATATGAATTTCAAGGTCTTCGTGGGCTTAATTACGGGTCACCCAGATAAAAGTTTCCATAATATAAAAATCCCCTATGGGCACCATGTCAGGTAATTAGAACAAGACACGCGCGACGCACAGTGGTTGTATGGGTGACATTTCGCGTGGTTCAGCAACAGTGTGTGCCGAGCAGGGTGGAAACGTCGCGCTGAAAGTTAAAAAAGTTGGCGGCGACAGCTCCGTGTAAAGCCCTATGCGGAGTATTTATAGTAGTATTTCTTCCGATTCACCACATACAAGTTGGGAGGTACCCATCACCTCGCGCTTCGGTGCAGGCCACCTATTACGTGTCGTAGCTGGTGTATGTGGTGTCGTGCCTTTAATGCAGTCTTGTAGTTGTGTGTGTCAAGTACGCTAGTTTGGTGTGGGGTCGGCTGGGTGTCGCGGCTGGCTGGTGCGCTGCTTGTGTTGTGTCGTGTGTTGTGGTTCTCCTCTTCCAATGCCAAACAGCAGCCACTCTCCGGTCTTGTACGGCTGCCAGGAGCCTGCCATGACTGCCATTCACCGTCAGGCCCACTTGCACTAGAACCTCAACATGTGGAGGAACATTATGTTCAGCAATGAGACCAGATTCTGTCTACAGCACATTGATCACAGGGTCACAGTGTAGAGAAGACGCAGAGAGCGCTTTGCTGATTGCTGCACCGAACGAGTAAAATATTTTGGTGGAGGCAGTGTGATAGTGGGGGGCGGCATCTCACTCACTGGAAAAACCAGGCTTCTCAGCATTGGAGGCAATCTCAATACAGAGAGATATTGAGATGAAATTCTGCAACCAGTGACAATCCCATACCTCAAGAGTCTGGGACCAAACTCTATTCTCCAAGGTGACAACACTCAACCCCACAGAGCGAAGGTCTTTGGAGTGAAGAGGATGGAATGGCCTGCCTGCAGTTCTGACCTCAACTCCATTGAACACTTGTGGCATCAGCTTGCTGTCAGAGTGACCAACACAACCATGGTGGCTGACATGGGACAAATGCTGATTGAAGAATGGGATGCCATCCCACAGCATTGTGTGAGCAGGCTGGTGACCAGCATGAGGAGGAGAGGCTGTGGTGGCTGTGTTTGGTTGTTTTCATCAGACTTCAATCATCCAATCCACCAAACCCAACCAAAAGAAAGTCAGCAGGTAAAACAGCTGTTTGGCATTGATAGAGGAGATTTGTCAAATGGTCATTGCCGCAACCCACATTCTCAGCTCTGCTGCTCATCCCACTGATGCATGTTCCTCACAAATGTGGCACCATTTCAAAAGGTAATTATACTGGCTTTCCAATGGTATAAGTTGTTCAAACAAAGAAATAATTTACCAAACACACATTTCCTTACTTTTTGTGTTAAATTTAGATTGGGATTACTTCAAGTATTGTTGCGCTGTTGGTAAATATCTGTTTTCAAACTGCTCTTACCCTAGTGTCTTCACTGATGTACCCACAGGTCACTTTCTCTCCCTTCACCCACAGTTCACTGGCCTGGGCTCTGCAAAATGAAAACAGCATGAGCTTGCATGTAGTGACAGACACATTATACACTCACCATCACCATTGCATATAAAGAAAACAAAGCAAGGGACAGCTGAGATCAAATTAAACAAAACACAACCGTCTTATAAATCCTCTATGTGTTATTGCCCTTCTACTAATTCAATGCAATATTAATACAGATAATTAATAAAACAGACAATCGAAAACATGATTAGAAGAAGCGGGAGGGCAGAAAGCATATAAAGAAAAAAGCCCTCCTGTTAGTCATTCGGTTTCAACGTTTCTGGTCAGGGACCCAAATATTAAGGTATTTTAACTGCAAACTTAGGACGTGGGATTCCATGTGTGTCTGTACAGTATATAAATACACATAGATAAACAAAATGCTATGTATACATACACATATATACAAGCATATACACATATACAGTATATGCACACATTTTGAGAGTGAAAAGAAAATACAATACCAAATCAATGAAAAGCAAAATAAAGAGGTATGTAAATGTTCTTTTACTTTTAATGTAATGTCACCCTGCATGCCTTTACTGTAAATAGAGTGTAGAGAATACAATTAATTATCAGTACCTGATTCCAGCAAACTCCACTTTCTGCGTCACATAAGCACATGTGCTCACCTGGAATCCAAATGATACATGTTAAAACCTCACATAACTTTTCCTTTTCACATTGTATCCAGATATGATCCTTCTCATGTCCCACCAGACTCTTCTTCAGCCTCCACATGTCTCCTCTGCCGATGTACTGGTCCTTGAAGGTCAGCTCCACCAGGTCCAGTGTTACATCCTGCAGGAAAAAGCGAAACTATGAGAGATTCTGTTCGCTGACAGAGCGTGGAGAGGCAGATAGGTCGCAGTGAACATACCTTTGGGTCCACAATGTTAACAATGACATCCTGGTAAGCACGCAGCTTGAAGGCTTGTGCTACAGTCTGATCCACACTGATGGTCTCTGGATAGGAACACAATAAATCAAGGTATTAGTTTAAGAAATTACATTACTATAATGTTATCACTATTTCATCTGTGCAGCTTCAGAATCAGATTTACTGCTGATTGGGTTTACATATACAATACATCTATTTTTTATTTTGAAACAGGAACTAGGTTATGTTATGCATTTCTGCTTGAAAAAATACGTAATTCAATAATATCAAAGTATTCGATCTAGACTCTTTTCATTTTTGAGATATAGCAAACATTTATACATTCAAACTTTTGATCATAATGAATGTACCTTTCTGGAGGTCCTCTTTTAGGCTCTTCACCTGAAGCAGAAGAGGACTGGGAATAAAAAAGAGACATGACCAGATTATAAAGTCAGAAGTGTAACAATATGAAGAGGAACATTCCACAGAAATCCTCTCATTGTGCAGTCTCACCTGTACTCATCTGAAGGGTGTGCAATCTCAATGATATCCCTCAGACTGACTTGAGGGAAAACCTTTGGGTTGACAACCAACTCATCATCTGTTCAAAGGAAAAGTTCATTTGTAAAACAATTTGATAGAAATCACATTTTTCACAAGAGAATCATTTATTTTGAAAGTATGAATTGGAGGTGATTGCTTACCACTACCACCAAAGCCTTTCTTGTGCAGCACAAGCTTATATGATTTGTTGGTCTTCATAATGAACCAGCTGGAGATCAACATATTAACTTGTTATGCGACTTCTTACAGTTGCAGGCAATAACATATGAGTATTTGTATTCCATATCACCAAACTACAATACATTCAAGAGGTATTTTTGTATTACTATGACTTATTGGAGTATTCAATAACACATTAACGTAGATAGGTAAGAACAAGCGAACGTATAGAATACATATAGAAGTACCTCAGCAGGCTCTTCTCAACAACTCGAACTCCTTTAGCAGCACAACCTGCCCTGGGATGTTGACATACGCTAGCTTAGCACGTGTCTCATTTGAGAAGCCCACAGCGACTGAACTATTAGAAACTAACATTAGCACCAACGTTAAAATAACTTTAACTTGTAAGTACGTTTTCAACTTGGAATTAGAAAGCAGCTAACTAGCTAGCTCTCACTGGTTGCACTTCCTCCAAAACATGGACATGCGAGATGTGATTGGTTAGTCGTGGGTCAGAGAGTATTTAGCGAAGCAAGAGGGCTCACTCCGCTTTATTTTTACTAAGATTAAAAGGTATGTTTCTTACGGTTGACCCCATTATGTCCATGAATTCACCCAAATTCCAAACATACAAGACCTTTTCCTTAATAATATGTACGTATACATCAAACAAATCTGCATGATCCAATTGAAAGGTCATACGACTATGATGTGATGCATATGTTAGTTCATTCATCTTTGTTTACATATAAGGACCATCTCTGGGACCATCTAATTAATAAAGGCAAGCATGTATAAGCATTTGGTGTTTTACAGGGGATAAGAAAGTCCTAATCATTAAGGAACACATTATGAATGTTGCGTGTAAATCTTGCGTAGCCTGACATAATTTTAATATAATCGTGACAGAACACTTCAGACAGCTGATAAACCACTTTATTAGTTGACAAAAGTACTGTTTACACTTGCATTAGATAAAAGTAAACACACTTTAAATAAACCTTTATCACCCACAGTAAGAGGTGACACATATTCCACCACAATACTGTATAAAAAAATAAACACTATGACAGTAGCAAAGAAATTCTTAAGCACCCATACAAGGGTTTTTACCAAAAGTTATTGGCCCTTGGCCACCATGGGGGTGGACAAAATGGAGTTTGTATTTAACAGAAAAAAAAGACCAATAAACTAAAACGATTAATTTGAGACGCTTTTTTGATTTGTTATTAGCCTTCTTTAATGTTTTATGTTAGAACATTCTGGATGAAATACTGACAACTATCCCATAACAAATGTCAAATTCATTTAATTTAGTTTCAGCAAACAGTGACCCTTTCCATCAAATAACATCGGCTTCCAGGAGCTCATACTGGTTGAACCTTTTGCAATCAGAATATATGGCAGTTTTAAAGATTTAAATGGAACATCAGCAGCAGCTTCTCTTTGTGTCTTGCTGCGCCACCGCCTCCTCCAGGTTGGCCCGATCTGATTCTGTCGACACAAAGATTATGGGTACATTAAATTAGCCTCAATGCTTTCATTATCAACATCTCTATTTATTAGGAGCTATGTTATTTCTTACTGATACTATTTCCACATCCGATGCTAGCAGGGGCTCCATTCTCCATGTCCTTCAGCATGCACTTCTCAAAGGCCAAGGCTGCCACCCTGAAGAAAAAACCCTGCACGTTCTCCCCTGAAAATAAAGAAAAAGGTATACTTTCTTACGGTGGCGCTCTGCAAAGACAATACTATTTGTATGCTTGTTTTCCCAATGTACTATATAGCAGTGACAAGTATAAGCTCTTGGTTTGACCTGTTTTAGACGAAACAGCCCAAAACTCTGCATGCATTTCTCTTGCTATCCTGATGGCATCTTTTTCTGTTCGCTGTCTTTCTTCTAAAGGCTAAAGAAGGAGAAAGTTGGGTAAAAGAAGAACAATGGGTTGTTTGCATAGTAAACATATACAATCAAATAAAATATGTTCACCATTAGGTCACTCTTAGTGCCAACCAAGAAGATGAAACAGGAGTCAGGTTCATTTTCTCTCATGGCCTCCTCCAACCATTGGCTATAAAAACAAAACAAAGTTCTTACATTATTTGAATGTGAAACATGCCCTTCCAGTTGTATGTAGTATTTGAATTTGACTCGATACTATACAGAATCCTGTGACCCTGTAAAGGATAAGCACTTACAGATAATGGATGTATGGATGTATATTAGAGATTTTTATAAACATGTATATGCTTTAGATCATTCTGGTTCCAGATCTCTAAATCACCACGAAAATGCCTATTGAGTCTAAATTGCCATGACTATGACTTAAACAATAAATGTTACATCTAGATACTTAATTCCGGGAAATAAACGAATGGAATGATAGATAGCTATCATTATTGACAGATACGCTATGGTGATACATTGTCACTTTTTGTGTTTAACATTTACTTTAAGTTACTACATCCCAGTGTGTGGCAAAAATTGCTGGCTGTTATTTTGTGACAGAGATGTCTTTACAATTTGATATTACTGGCTGCTGACTCAGTGGTAGCTTTGCCATTCATTATCTGATGTTGTATGTGTCTAAAGAAAACACCATTGTACTGTAGGTAAGGGCACATTGTTGAATTATCCCAATGATAAGGTTGTGTCAGACCTACCTTGTATGATCGAGGGACTTAATGTCAGCCATGTCAAAGACTGTGATAATGACTGGAAAAGATGAACAAAAAGTGTCAGCATTATTAGTTTACACTAGCTAATATGTAAACTGGTCTCAAATAGCATCAGATCCTCAATAAAAAACGATCTTACCCTGAGCTCCTCTGTAGTATGCAGTAGCGATGCACTTGAATTTTTCCTGCCCAGCAGTATCCCAGCTAACGAAAAGAAAGTACTTAAGAATGGCAAAAAACTAAAAAGAAAAGTACTCAGAAGGTACTTACATGTATGCAGAATATCAAATCAAACTACTCACATCTGAAGGGAGAAAGGCACTCCGGATATCACAAACCTCTCAATCTCAAAGTCAACTCCTATGGTGGCCTTGTAGTCTCTTTCAAATACATCCTTACAGAACCTGAAAAAGGCATATTTATTTTTGATGTGTTCAGAACTACACTCACAATAGAATAGTGTCAAACTAGATTTGTCTATAATTATTCTGCTTTTTTAGTACTAAATCCCTAACCTGCTTTTAGGTGGAATCAGTTGGTTACAAAAGACTGATGTGTTCATACTATATAGTCAAGAAACATGTTCTAAGGTTAATGCATGAACTGGGTTTCCAACCTTTTCCAGTCAGGATAAATCTGATTGTCTTTAAGATGGTTAGCAGCACGGCGAAGTGCATCACTAAATGACTACGATATCTTTCTGGTCAATCCTTTTCAATTGTAGATACCTGGATACTATTTACATCTTTAAACTCTTAACAATATCCGATTAAACAATATTCAGGAACTGGCCACTACCCATAGACTGTGGTGCAACCTGTGATAAAGGATCACAGGTACTCATGATTTACTTGAAGAGGTCACTCGCCATATATTGTGATCACAGTTAAATAGGTTCCATCTTAATTGGCTAATTGTTGAGTTGTTTGTACCTATTAATGAGGCAGGTCTTCCCCACATTCAGGTCTCCAACAACCACCACTTTTGACATTTTCTGGCGGTCCCATCTTCAAAGAAGACAACATGACAGTGAGATGTTAAAGCTTTTCATTTGAAGTTAATCTAAGGCATTGACACAAATCAGGAGACTCACGGCTGACGACTGTTGGTTCCGTCTTTACAGACTGCTTTAGCCTGAATGTCCCAGTCTTTCTTCAGCTGCAGAGCCGCGTTACGTGTGTAGCACTAAAAAACAACAAGAACATACATTACTTACATGTATTTGCCATTACATACACTGATAACAAGACTTAGATTCTGAAAGGCTGTACTTACGCCAAGCAGTGCTTTGAGTTAAATGCTAACATGCTAACAATGTTAATGTTAAAATGCAGATGGTTAGTATTATGTTCACCATGTTTAGTGGTTAGATTCCTAACATTTAATAATCAAGTATTAGCCAAACTAAACTATGTATGTGATGATGATGCTAAATGAAAAGTGAACGGATCTCATTCAACTCAGTTCATCTCGAGTGGGACACTCGTTTTTGTACCACACGTCAGGGAAATCCATTGATAGGTTGTTGAAACATTTCAATCAAAACCCTAACAGTGGCACTACAGAAAGTCAAAAGTGTTAGGGAATAACTTGCTTAGGTATTCAACCTTTGACAGAGTTCATAATTTTCTCCTTTCACTGTCTCCTTTCCCACGGCACAGGTCTACGGCCTTCGGGTATTGCTGCTATCTCTCTTAAGGAGGGGCAGCTTGGGCGCATTGTTGTTGCCAGCTTATGACCGAGCACAAGCCGCCATGAGATAGTTTATGTTCAGGGACATCTAGAAACCCTTATTTTTAGGAACGTAGGTTCCCTGGTGCACAGTCTTTTCTATGGACGACAGCTCTAGTTAGATTCAGGGTCCATATTTCTTTAGTCTCACTGAGGAAGAATGTTGATTATTACACTCCGAATTAATGAAAACCTCCAACTACAATTCTCCGGCCGAAGCTCCAAATAAACCGTCAGTGTTTGCCATCAAAGCTCCAGTTCTCCTCGTGTCTCTCAGTCCTGTTTCGAATTGCTTCAGAAGTTTCCCTCACAAAAAGGATCACCCAAGTCTTTAGGATACATTGTATGGAACCCATGAATGCCTGTATAATATATGTTATCAATTCATTAGGTAGACATTTGATTTGATGATTGCAGAAGATGAAAAGTCACCGAAGCAGGACAATTGTACCATTACCAACATGTATGGAAATCCATGTGATAGGTTACATTTCACTGAGGCAATTGAAAATGAGGATGGCACTACAGAAAAGGTCAATTCTCATCTGCTTGGGACCATGAAATGATTGTAGGTTCAAACTTTAATAATCCAATCATTGTTAGAGATATTCCTCAAGTCGGCTGTTATAAGTCCCACCGATGGAAATGCCACATAGTTATTAACTGGGACAGAATACAGGGGGTGGATGTCTGCTTTACTGAGCTACTCAACTGGACTCTGTGGTAATGCAACATCAGACCTACAGCCTCTATCTTGTTTGTGTGTGATGTCTGCAAACTAACTTGAAACTGGGGCAAGCACTTTGATTTCCTACTATTAGAACCTTGTGCTCTCAATATTCAGCATCTTACATTGAACACAAGACCTTTCCAACGCCTTAATGGCATCAACACAAATGGAGAACACAGAATATATGCATGCAGGCATGCATTCTATAATATTGTACATTCTGAGGAAAACAAGGATTAGGGCAGTTGCAGAGATAACCTGCAATTGGCCCCATTAGGATAAGTTGTCAAATATTATAGATTCCTCTCCAAATAAAGATTTTGAGGGAAGAAGGATATTTGGACTGAGTCTGTGATTGGTTTGCTGACTTCAACAGCCCATAATGAATCTGAGTGCAAGTATCTGACACTGATTTCCCTTGCTAAGAAAGTCAGTTAGAAGAAGTCACACGTTTCCAATTAAACAAACATCTTCTAGACCCCCACTTCTACGATTCTAACCAGTGATCTCATTTAAAAGAAGGGGGTTTCCTTTGCCCATGATTGAATAGGATCAGACCATAGCCGTGGGAACATGTTTCAAATGGGGGGTGCTGTGGAGATGACACCAGGGCCGGTTTTGACCAATTTGCTGCCCTAGGCAAGATTTTAGCTGGCAATGAAAAACCTCTACAAAAGACCAATACACTACAAAAAGAGAAACGTATTGATATGGTGGACAGCTTAAAAAGACTTCAAATGTATTTAGTATTGCATGAACATGTTGAATTGGGGGGTGGACTTCACATCCTCTAAGGGGGTCCGGGGGTGTCCCCCAGGGAAGATTTTTTTAACATTTAAAGTAAAATACTTCAATCTGGTGCACTTTGAGCGCCCAATTACTAGAGACTGATCTAGGGGATACAACTCTAAACACCCATGTGAAAAAGATCGGTTTGTATGTGAACATAACCAATAACCTACCATAGCCAATAACAAATAAATGTAG